CCTTTGCGTCGACGACCCAAGACCGGTTTGGCACCGTCTCATCCGGATTTGACGGCGGATCATCATTACCACACTTATCTGGCAGGGATCCGGCTACGGTCGGCTGGATATGGATGTGTCGATCTGGATCGGAGCTCAGCTGCTGCGAATCGTGGCCAATCCCCCCCTGCATGAGCTTTGCATTGATAGCCTAAGATAGGTTCGGCACCGTCTCATCCGGATCCGACGGCGGTTCATCATGACCACACTCATCTGTCCAAGATTTGGCTACGGTCGGCTGGATATGGATGTATCGATCTGGATCGGCGGTCAGCCGCAGTGGAACTTGGCCAATCCCCTCCTGCATGCGCTTTGTGTTGACGACCCAAGCCGATTTTGCAACGGATAATCGGGATCCGACGACGGATCATTATGGCCACACTAATCTGGCCGGGATCCGGCTACGGTCGGCTGGATATGGATGTGTCAATCTGGATCGGAGCTCGCCCGAAGCGGAACGAGGCCTATCCCCCCTGCATGAGCTTTGCGTTGCCGAATCAAGACAGTTTTTCACCGGCTTATCGGTATCCGACGGCAGATCATCATGATCATGTGGTGTAGCGGGATCAGCAAAATCTGCGAGATTGCCAGATCCAACTTACCAACTGCGCCCAGACACCGACTAACGGAGGGGGTCCCTCGATGATCCGTGTTCTGCTGAACTTTCCTCACCTTGTGTACCCGTCGGTAGGGCGGGATCTGCTCTCTCGGTAACTTCCGAAGAGTTCAAGTGGTGAAGCTTGAGTGTCTTGGCGAGACGTGGGGATGGGGTGGAGCAGCAGTGGAAAATCTTCACTCTGCGTCCGTGGATAGCTCCGAATCCTAAGCGAATATTCGAGCTTATGGATCCAGGGCCTAGATCGTGGATCTGGCCGTAGGGTTGCCTTGCGGGTGTGTTCCCTTGCCTTTTGTAGCTCCTTTCGTCGTACTTGCCGCCTCCTGTGACGGGATCTTGAAAGTTGAGAACCTCTAGGGCGCGCCTCCTACGAGCCCGAGCAAGAGCCGGGCTCCCGGGTTCTTGGGCGGAGCCCAGATTTTAAACTAGGCGGGCTCTCGGGATCCTGTGTTAAATAAGTTAAATATAAGGAGTCCGTTGTTATGGTCGGGATCCCGGTTAATTTAGATGCGTGTGACTTATTTGAATATCTAGGATCCAGATCAAGATTTCAGCAAACCAGGGCGTCTCAGTAAGGCCATGGTTCTAACAAGATCTCAGGCCCGTGCCGCAGCACAAGACCAAGCGGGCATACTAGAAGGGATTGTTACCGAGGTACACGATGAAGAGCTCCTTGCTGTCGTCCCTGCACATGCCCCTGCGCAGAATGTTCGCCTCGAGTCTCAAGTCTCAAGAATCGTCGACAGCTTCTGGAGCGAGACCCAAAGACTTGCTGCAGAGACTACAATGATGCAGAGCAATCAAGTTCAACAAGCGAAAGAGTACCACGCCGCCTTGGCTGCCATCCACCACGATGCTCGAAGCAGTACGGCTGAGCTGGCAGCACACCAACAGTGGATTGAGGGCCAGATACGAAAGGCCCTGGAAGACACTAACTTGGCTCTACAACAAGAACTGCAAGTTATTTCCAATGCCCAGGTAGTAGGTAATGAATCTTCGCGTTTATTTATCCAGGAGCAGCTGCAATCTGCGCGGGGGGTCGCGCATCTTGAAGTATTGGAGATGAAGAGTGCGATAGCAGCCCAAGCTGCGAAAGTAGAGCAGATCGAGAGAGAAATGACAGTAGCAATCACAAATGCTCATAGCGCACTGGCGCAGCGGATAGATGGTGTGCTTTTGCAACCACAGGCCGCCATTAACGGAGATGTAAAAGGCCAAATGGAAGAAATGTGGGATGCAATGCAGAAGCAGATCGACATGAAGTTTCAGCAGATGACTTCGAGTATTGTGGAGAACTGTATTGCAAAGTTGGAGGAGAGTGGAGGTGTTACCACCGGTAGATTGACGATTCGGCGCGTTCAAAGGCTAGTGTCGGAGTACGTGGCTAATCAGGAAGAGAAGATGGAGCATAAAATTAAGCATCTTGTACAGAGCGCTCACTCACAGATTAGCAACGAAATGATAAACAGTTTCGAAAAGCTTGGCAACAACATGCGTGAAAACATTCGCCAGCAGCTAAAAGATGAATCCGCAGCGACAGAGGTACACATGGAAAAGCGAGTCCGTGACATGCTACAAAAAGCCCATGAGGAACGCGTAATTGAATCGCGATGTCAAATGGAGGCCACTCGCGCAGTTGAAGGGGAACTTGAGCGCACCCGCACAGAACTCAACACAGAAGTTCGAGAACTGAAGGCACGACTCGATAAACTCGAAAACAAGACGAATGAGAAGTCACCAATTATTAGAGTGCCGCCAAAACGTCGTACTGAGCGCGGGAATAATACAGTACCCGTCCTTGTAAAGCACATGAATGATCTGGCGAAAGAAAATAAGTGGTCTCAAGATGAGCGAGTGGGTCGTATGGAGCAGTATGTCCAAGCAGTGCTACGTCGAGCTCTCCAGCTTACACCAAGTCTTAGCGTCACAATTCCCCCGGTTTCATCTGATCCTGTACAGCTCCGATCCCAGCAAGAGCAAGTTCCGGTGCCGCATCATTCTACTAAGGTCAAGCGCGCAATTGACCAAGCACAGAAAGCTGTCAAGCGTCGATCGGAACTGGCCGCTCGCCGATACGATGCTCTTCACAAGAACGAGACGAATGGTAGCTGATCATGACACCGACCTCTCTATGTTAGTCATTGTTATGATTTTTAAATACATTTCGTGTTCCATCAATGATGTCGAGAGGCTATCCTTCTACCATGCCAGCTATTAATACATTGTATTTATTATTGCTTTCCGACCCAACTCAATTATGCCAATGCCAGTGGGGACGGACTTACACATTAATCACTTTCACAATACCGTAGACGCACAGCCTTCGACAAACTTGTCACAAACCATGTCGGAGGAATCGCCTTGCCCAGTAGCATCGCTTCCTGATACGACATACGCTGCCTCCTCGTCAACGCCGGCGACGATGACATCTTTCCCTCTAGTCCAGACACGACAGCTTCGCCTACGATTACTATGCCGGCGACGACGCCTCCGTGTCCGTGATCTCTCGTCCGACACGGGGACCCATTCTCTGTTAAAACACCCTTCCCAGGGAACTTGCCCCCGGCCAAAATGGTCTCGCTTTTGTCGACAGCCGCGACATCTTGCTCAATGACATTCTTGTTAAGACTGGATGAACCCACGTGTCTGCACTGGCATGCTCGACACTCAAGCGATGAGCTGATTATCGGCTATCACGCAGTGCTACATCCCCACAACGCATCATTTCGGAGCAGACGAGGACGGTAATTTCTGGTGGCACTGTGATCACAATACCCAGTACACGTACGGTCAGCGTGGGCCTCTGATATTCACCCACGCGAGGATCAGCTTCAGCCTTGGGAGATGGACGTCGGCGCCGAATACAACGTCCAACTGGCGAAAAAAGGCTCAATCTTGATCAACAATCGCGGTCGCTATAACTGTGCCGCTGCAGCATCACACGGCTTCAAACAGTGCCCAGAGGACCAGCCACTTACTCATTTCCGCTTCCAAGCGGGTAAATCATATCACCTCCGCCTCATGTTCATGAGGGCACTTGACCAGCTTGAATTCAGCATTGACGGGCATCAACTTCGCGCCATCGCACCGAGCGGAGAATCACTGGAGCCGTCCAAGCTCATCACCAACATCACTATTAACATCGGACAGCAAATCGACCTTCTCGTGGTGGCGAAGAATACCACGGATATGTCCTTTGGATGGCTCTGAATAAGAGCTACGGGGCTCAACCGTTTATCCTGCACGGCGGCGCCACATTAACGCTGGCGAGGGATTGAGCGTCAACGGTCAGGCGATGGTATACGGCGAGGAAGATGACGTAGCCGAGCCCACCACTTAGTACTGCAACGAGACGTCGACGGTCGGTGAGAACGAGTTGACACCTGGAACATCACTACGTTGCCTGCAATCCAGACAAACAAGAGGTCATCGAGAAGCCGTTTCAGCAGCCACTCATCGTGCATGGTCGGAAGCGGTCATGTCATATTGGCTGAACTGCCGCCGTATGGAAGAGCTTCAGGTTATGAAGGTGTCGTCGCTCGTCAGAAAAATGACGAAAATGTAGATACATGTACGGCGACCGCTGCAATAGTAGTATCACACACCCTTTTCCTCTTCTTCAACGCTCGCTTGAGAAAATAAGTCGAGAATCATTTCGTCTTCATCATCACGTGGTGTAGCCTCCATTACGTAGCTCACACACTGAGGGATATGAGAATCCAGTTCATCGTCCGGGATTGACTCGCACTGCGCAATGTCCACAAAGGCTTCGTTTCGATTAAGAAAAGCACACATGTCGACATTCTCGTTTGAAAGGCTTGCCCGTTGTGATGTCACCATCTCCCCACACACACTGAAGTCTCTCTCGATCTGGGCGGATGATGAGGGTAAAGCAAATAAAACTTTCGCCACCCTCGGTAATATACTGTAGCCGCCACTGTGCTCCATTCGCATCCAAAAAGCAAGCACGTCTTCATTGGCTCTCATCTCAGTCTGATCAATCTCCCAGTTGCGAAGCTCCTGGCTAACTCGATCAGGTTGAATAGGAAACGGACGTTGAGTAGCACGGTTTCCAAACCGTGCACGTATACCGCTAATGAGGGGTGGATCATCTTCGGCAGAGATGCTGACGACGCACCATATCACTTGCAACAGGG